TTTTTAAAAAAAAAAAAAAAAAGACAAGTGAGGACAACTCTGGGGTGGGGGTGTTTCTAAACTTCCCCGAGTGCAGTTGAAGTAGTCTATGAAAGAAGATTTTTCTCTAGCCCCGGTTGCTTTTTCCCAAAAGCTTCTTGAGGAAATGGCAAAATCTTGTTTCAAAGGCAGTATCTTTAAAACAATTTTTTTTTCATGGCCTGGAAGTTGTAAATAAGTCTTTATATGTCAATTAGAGGATGTGTATGAGGATATGTGGTAGAATTTGCAAGTCACTGTCCAGTGCAAATTAAATTTAGTTTTTACTGTCAGGTTCGATATATCCACAAAAAAAACCTTTAGAAGAAATTAAACTCATAACAGAGTGACAATTTAATTTTTGTACATCATGAATGACTGGAAGCAGACTGCAACATTTGTACGAGTTAATTAAATGCAAACTTTGTGGCTGGTGTCTGCATGTGTGTCATTACAAAAATAATAATAATGTACTGTGAGCTCTCATAAATGATTTGGTAGTGGTATGTCAGTGAATATACTGACTCAAATGTCTGTTCAAGAAACACTATTCAGCTTGGGGGAGGTAGACTCTAGGAAAATGTAGGAAAGCATGCATCTGCACACAAGGGAGTTTCCAACTGGAATAGTAAGGACAAAAAACCAAACTACTTTTCAGGAACAGTTGACAGGGTATGAAATGGCTTGTATAATGTGATGGCTGCAAAAGCCTACCTGGATCATTGAGTAGTCTCTTACTTTCTTCCACCCCTCTGCTTCTCTAAGGGAGAGCTTATGTTGAAAAACAAAATTAAGAGTTCTTGATGATGTTATAACACCTTGTTGTAGTTACTGCTGGATTTAATTTAGCATTCTCCCCTCTGTCAGAACAGCTACGTTGTTTTGATTTGTCCAGAGAACTGAAGTGGTATTTCCATGAAATGTGTCCACAGAATTTGGTTTCATATAAATTTACAGTTTATAGACAATCGGCAATTTTAACTAACATCTGGTAAGGATGGTATTAGAGAAGCATTGTTAAATAATTGGGGCAACACCATTTTATACTGTTTGGCAGATTTATAAAGTATGTCATTTTAAAAATATGTAGTAAGCTTTGGAACTATAAACAGTAAAAAATGGAGAGAAAATCTCCACAGTAAGGTGCAAGTGTAGATTTTTTTTTTAAACATTTTTTTAACCAAAGAATATTCCTCTGAGCATTAAAGTCAAATCAACACTTTTTTGCAGAAACTCTCTGCTTTTAAAGAACCAAGTTAACAAAATTGACACACCACATGCAACTTACTTTTAAACTTGTGTATTATGGAATCAGAGTGGTAGTTGCATCCTAGAGTATAGGTTCTTATGTTATGCTGTTGAATGGATATTTTGGCAGGAAAGCATTCCCGTGCTCACTGCTGGAGCCTCATTCCCCCCTCGCCCATTCCCTCCCATCACAACAGACTTACCAGCCAGAGCCGGCTGGTCTCCATGCTACCAGGCTGTGCTTCTGGCCGCCTGCATGCTGTGCTGCAGCTGCGTGCATGCATGGGGTGTTTATCAGTTACATTATTGGACACATTAGCCTAAAAAAGCCGATAGCCAACACTGTCAATTTTCCTTATATCAGTGCTGATCTGATATGAGACCAATGTATCATTGCACCTCTACCTTTTATGAATGATTCAAATTCATACAGGACAGTGACATTTATATTGCCTTCTATTTTCAGCTAAATTACAGGGCTTATACACTGGTGGGTATAATTTACTCTGTTCGAAAGAAACCTTTACAGAGCTATATATATCACTTGATACCATCATCAGAAGAGAAAAATAATTCCATTCACTTGTTTGAAGCCTGAACTGTCTGAGCTTGTATAGGCAAATTATGCAGGGAGTTGGAAAGGATAAATGCAAGCTTCCAACATGGTCCCAATCCACAGAGCTGCATCCTGGCCGTGGAAGCCCGCTGTCCCCTAATTTAGCCTCTGATTTTAAATAATTCCAGACCATTTGCCCAGGATAAGAGTACCATCAAATAGATATAGAGGTGTATCTCTCCTGTCCTTTTATTTGTTTGTTAGTCTTCCTTCATGAGTTGCTACCCACATTAGCTGCCGTGAAACCACTGAAAAGATCCATCCTTGGTGCTGCTGAGCCGGTGACTTGCACTCTAGGTTTGTGCTGCCCTGGTCTATTGCAGACCCTTGGCATTGAGACACATGTTAACATTTAACATTGTCTGTTTTGACATTATTTGTCTTGCAGTCCTTGGTAAGATCTCAGACTAGTATAAAAACTCCACTGTGCTAGGCACTGAACAGCCCATAGACAAATATGGTCCTTGCCATAAAGAGTTATAGTCTAGGAAAGGGGACAAATGAAGGGAGTGGAGGAGATTTAGACTCAAAATGGTTACAAATTACTGTATATGAATATACACTTCTGCATTTTACAAATCTGTCAGGGACATCCAACCGCTCCAAAGCTTAGCCCAGCCTCCTAAAAGAAAAATCATCCTTGCCAAATCATTTTAAATCTCCCCCTTTTCTGTCTGTCTTGTATATTAGTAATAAGGAGAGGTGTGTGTGCACCTGTAGTAGGGGAGGATCTATTAAGATGAAGACTATGCACTTCAGTAATGAGATCTGAACCAGTTTCGTGCCTGAGTACTAATCCTGTCTAAGTAAACCCTGATTAATCTTTCATCATTGAGTTACAGGCTCCTGCTTCAGGAAAGATTGTGTTTCCTGTCACCTTTCCATTTGCTCTGGGTCATGTAACTCTCAGTATTGAACACTGATGAAGCTTGAATAGTTGTGGATATTGTTAGCTGCCGTAGTGCCTAGATAAACATATTGCTGTGGCTATGTGATTTACATGTAAATAGAGATATATGTAAGGGGGCTGTTTTGTTATTTCATGGCATGAATCTATGTAATGGCTTACAGCATTTGTCTTGTATTTTATATAAATAATTCTCATACCAAAACCAGGCCACTTTAAAGTGGAGGAAAAATAAAGTGAGCCACATCCCTAGAAGGGAAACTATCAATAAATTATTCTGAGTAGCTTTCAACTGCAAATTATGGAAGCTAAATGTAGTTGTCACCTCAGTGGTTAACCAGGTGATAAAGTCTGGTTGCAGTTACTTAATGTCTTCTCAGCAGAGTTGCTGTTACAGTTAGACAATTTAGATTGAATTCAGTGATATGTGGGAAATTTGTTTAATAAAGGATTTGTCTAATAAGGTGTTAAAAAGCTTTTTTTTTAATTTGTTGTTTTTGTTCTTTTGGCTTTTTTGTTTTTTCTGGTTTGTTTGGGTTTTTGTTGTTAAATCCCTTGTGTTTAAATCATTCTTGGTAGCCAGAAATTGTCCTTACTGAAAATCTTCCACTGTGCATGCATACACGTGTTACACTTTCCAATAGGGTTATTTATCCATAATTGTTTTTCTGCTGCTATTCTTCTTTTGTAGGAAAACTATTGTTCTATTGCATTTGATTGATTGCAGGTATAGGACAGGAGGGGTAGGATTACATGTAAAAATTTAAGCCTGTTTTTCCTGCTCACTGACACTCAGTTCCCCTTAATTTCTCAGCAAATGAATAGTTTCTTTAATTTCTGTAAATCTAGTAAAGTGCTGACAGCTTGCATATGTGCATAAATGTTTGGAGGATCAGAACCTTAGATACCAGCATCCGGATAAAACGCTGAACTAGAAAGCATGAGATGCAAAGTTTCTTTTTGGTTAATCTGCTGTGTAAGTTTGGGTAAGTATCACTTATCATTTTGCACTTCATTTTCCATATTGCCTTAATAAGTAAGGCAATAAGTAAGGCCCAATAATGTAACTAAGGTTGGGCAACCAAAGGTGACAGCCCCATGGCACTGGCTTAGCAGAAGCTGGAAAAATACCATGGCTGGCTGTTGACTGTCTGCAGTTCTAACTTTGGCATCCAGGAGCCCCCACTGTGCAGTGTGCCTCTACGCTCCAGGTGCCAACCTGCTCTGTTACCCTTTTGGAAAGGCCTACAGTTTAGCAAGGTTCAGAAAGGAGCTAGATGTTCCTAATGATACCTTGAACACACAGAGTTATTATAATTAAATATACCACTAATTCTGGCAGGGTTATTACATCTCATGACTCAGCTTTACGATAAAATATGTTGGAAGAAAGCAGATTATAGTAGAAGGCAGATTTAATTCCAGAGATATCAATTGTAGAGTTCTTAAGACATCCTTCTGCAGCATCTGGGCTAGCCATTGTTAGGTGCAGGATAACAGACTAGGCGGACTTTGCTAATCTGGTAGAGCGTTCTTATGCTCCTATAAAAGTTGGATTTGGGAGAAGTCCATAATATGTTGGAGCACCTAAAAACTCTATAAAACATGCAGTGGTGACCTTGTTATTAGATCTCTAACTTTAATTGCTCAAAGAAATGTGCAGCATGTGTGGGAGGGTGGGTATAAATAAGTTTATACTTTTAAAAGTTTATAGCTTGTTTTGATGATGATTATGATTACCCTGCCCTGTATTTTACCCTAAATTACTGGCATATATGCTCAGAGGTATCTCCTGCTGAATAGTTTTTATTTGACAAATTGCCAGAAAAAATAACCAGAGTAAATATTGTATTTACTTACATACCACACAGACTTTTGCCCCCGTCTATATTGGTGATATTGTCATCTATGTCTTAAATGAAGAAGCACATTTTTCTTCACAGGAATAGAAACAGGAATGAATGGTAAGACACAGCGTCTACTTGCTTCGGGTTGCCAGTGTGGCTGCTGTCTTTGGTGCCAGCAAGAAAAGGCAAAGCCTTGTGTTATCCCTCTCACATTGATAGCCATTTAAAGACTAGCTTGTGTCTGAAAGAGCAGTTGAGCTCAGTTA